GCGTATATGGCTCGGCGTTTTGTAACGAGGGGAGAGGTTCTATGAAATGTTACCTTGTTTGACAAATCAGAATGAGTGCTTGACTGCACATACGAGGAAAAAAAAAAACTGTCTACCTCGTGCATTCTGGCATTGTGTGGACACGCTTATCTCAATATGCATCTACTTCCACATACCACGCCTTCAGAATTTGTATAAGGAGAAAGTTCTTCTATTCACACCCCTACCCGGAACATAACTTTAATACTAGAAGCTCTTCTATTCTACCTCCTACCCGCAAACCATAACTTCATACTAAGAATCTCTTCTATTCTACCTCCTACCCGTAACCCTAACTTTAAATAACTAGAATCGCTTCGTTATTCTATCATCTACGCCAGTACAAACCTTAGACACTAACGCCAATGACGGCAACGGGTGATTTGTTTGGCCGTTGCACCACACTTTCTCCGTGATCAGACGCGCAATCCGTATAATAACACATCAACAATCGACGGGTGGGTCAGTCCGTCCATTATTTATGCCTCGCGGACACTGTGACGTGAATCCGTTAAAGACGCCTCGCAATCGAGAGAGAGAGGGGATTTTCGTTTGACAGATCTTTGCGATTGGATCGTGTGCAAATATTTAATATTATAGCGACCGCACACGGCTATTTTATCCCCTTGTCCCTCTCTCTGTCATTCTCTCTGTCTATCTATTTCTCTCGCTCCCCCTCTCTCTCTGTCTATCTATCTCTCTAGCTCTCCCTCTCTCTCTCACTCTCGCTCTCTCTCTCTCTCTCTCGCGAGGCGTCGAGCGCGCGCGCGCTCTCTCTCTCCTTCTCATCGTCTATCTCTCTTTCTCTCTCTACGCTCTCTCTTTCTCTCTCTCCTCTCTCTCTCTCTCTTTCTCTGTCTGGTCTGTGCTTCCTCTCGTGCTGCCTGCCTACTTCTCGTCCCGCCCTCTCTCTTCCCATCTTGCTCCTCACTTGCTCGTTTTTACTTTTCTCTCTCTCTCTATCTTTCCTCGGTTCCTCTAATGTCCTGAGTCAATACGTAAAACCAAAGCCGGACAGCCTGTCTGTAAATTCTGCGTGCATTTCTCTCATTAAAAAAACGTCAATGCGTAAGTCTTTTGGAGCGTTGGAATCACTATCGTTGTCTGAGATGTCACCCCATTAGAAGAACTCATCTGGTTGGCCAGTTTCAATATGCGGACTTGCACTATAGTCGATAACGCTCAAATTCAATCCCATTTTCCGTAATTTTTTTTCATCTAGAGGCTTTGTAGGATTTTCATCTGATTCGTTTGGTATATAATATCATTACAAGTAACCAGGTTACTTATTACTTTATAAACGGGTGCACGATCCGTCCTGGGATGGTGCTTACACTGCGGCAGCTTGTGATGTATATATACACAGACGTAGTGACTGTGCGTGCGTGCGCGCGCGGACGTGTGTGTGTGTGGTGTGGTGGTGTGTGTGTGGTGTGTGTTGATGTGTAGTGGTGGTGTGTGGATGTGGTGTGTGTGTGTCGTGTGTGTGACTGGTGTGTGTGTGTGTGTGTGTGCGTGCGTGTGTGTGTGTGTGTGTCCAGCTGCGCGCGTTGGTCAGTGTGCGCGCCTGCGTGTGTGTGCGTGCATGTATGCTTTTGTTTGCGCGTTTGCGTGTGTGTGGTGTGCGTTTATGTGTATACGTGCGCGTGTGTGCGTGTATAACAACGGAATTATGCACACTCCGATTTCATGCTCGTCGTTGAACACTTTAATTAAATGCTATGTTGCATACAATGTATCAGCCGCGCTTAAATAGTAAGTTCTATGTAATAACGATCTACCTGTCGTTACTCATCGTGTTCTGGGCGACACTGCTGCCGCATGCAACTAATTCTGCCCCATCTCTATCCCGCTAACCCTGTTTATTACGGCCTTAAATTGCCCTCGTCCCAGACGAAAGCAGGTCTAGACTGGGCACAGATAATTTCGCTATGATCTTTCTAGGTGTATAGCTATGTAAGTCTATTACGTTACTAGTGGTCTCCGTCACAAGATGCCTATTCGATGAATAGCTATACAGGATTAATAGGTAAAGCTGATAGGCGTTAGAGAGTCACGTATGCCACGCTGTCTGTTTAATGTTTGTACATGCTGCAAGAAAAAGTTTCGGAGTTCACTGCTAATTTATGCCGTTAAGTGATTACTATGATGTAATTACTTCCAGGGATAATGTAATGAAGTCGGTATTGTGTTACCGCTTACGTACTATTCGGGCTGTATACGGGCCACCTGCTCTCCTCGATTACCATAGATACATAGGGAAGAAATTCTTTCATTGTGTTTCCATAATAATTAATAATAAGACTGACTTCGTGATTTAGCGGGATTGCTTTGCTTATTTTAGTTTACGTTCACTATACGATGTAAAACGCTTACGATGTCTGTGGCACATGTAACGGATAACTGTTGCCAGTATCACGCAATGGTCCTAAAATTTTAAGGCGAAACGCGTATAGATTCACAGTGGACCATGGACCGCCACATCTGTGTAACCTGTGTTTCGCGGGTCGCCTTACACTTAGCAATTATTCAGCTATCCGTTCGAAAAAATGAACCAACCTATAGATTATTCATTTCAATAAACTGCTGATTAACAGCGACGATATTATCATGCCGCAAGTGGAGGCGCCGTTGCAATCTCTGCTATCTGTAGAGTGCAGATACCAATTTTTGCTGGCGCGAATTGCTATCTTGTAATTGCTTTTGTATTTGTTATTGGTATGTTTTCTATCTGCAAGAGCTCATAGCAGAACTTTGATGGGAAATCTAGCGGCGCTCGCCTCGTGCGTGACACCGCCAAGCAAGTGGTGCGCCTGAGCAGGAAATGTTTTAACTAAATGCAATTATTCAGCGAGTAATTGCCGATACTCAGAGTAACATCATGTTATTATGCAAACTGGTTGTTGCTTTATTTTTTTCGTGAGCTCGCGCGGAGATCTTGGGCGGGAATCATCAGCCGGCAATGGTCTTGCAACTGCATTACAGTTGTCAGGCTCCGATAACGGACTAGTTGCGCACCGCACTGCTATGATTTCTGGACGGGGAAGGACTGGCGAGCATCGATTAACCCTCTCCCCCACTTGCATCCTATTCGAAGCACTCCGGAGTAGCTTTCATTGTCCCGCATATTACGCAGAGCGTGAAATGGTAGCTTAATGGAGGTCTTCGTGCCATGGAGTAATTAGATGCGCTGGATTTCATGCCAGATGCGCCGGGCAGC